GTAAGGTAGTTATGTATACCACTAAACGTTTTTCCAAAGTTATTTTGTATGATAGGTACGTCGATGGATTTAAATGACTCAATTGAACTTGACAAAGAAGATATATTAACATTTATTACATTCACGAATGCATGGACACAATCGTAAGTAAATTGAAATAAACATCCGATCATTTCTCGAAAGGTGATTTCAGTTACAAGATATTTGTTTTAGTCGTTGTTTATGTTTATGTCGCGATTCAGCTACAATTGAACACTTTTCATCTATTGTCGAATATGTTCTTCTCCATTCGATTCAAATAATTCAATCATTTACCGTTGAAAGTCCTGTTGATGATTCTGCAGATCCACAACTAACTTCATGCAGTAATATTTTAACAACAACAACAGCATCCATCGACAATGATCATTGGACGCTAGATGAAAAAGAAAAACTACTCATTTGTGTATCACGATGTTTATCATTGAATTTACCATTGTATACGATGAATCGTAATCTATCTTATCAACATCATGTTCAGCATTTTCAAGATCAACATAATTCTGGTTCATCATCACCGTCAACTGATTTTAAAACCTTTTTACAATCCTATGTCAATTTTGATCAACATCCTCATTCAACAGCGTCACTCTACCTCTATCGTCATATTTGTACATTTTGTGAACAACAAGGTCTTCAAGCGATTAAGCAATGTTTTGAATGTGTCAGGTCTACACGTCAATTACCATTACCAATTGCTCACTGTTTATTTATGATTTTAACAAATTTAAGACAGTTTATAAATCTTGACTTAATTAAAACCTATTTATTACCATTACGACAGTATGCCATTCGATACTTGTGTATGTTAGACGATAATGAATTGCGTGTATGCGGACAAAAAAATACAAATGAATTGTTATATGCAGCACTCAAAGATCTCTACGTTTCTCCTTATCGTCAACGATCGTCATCTTCAACTTCTTCGTCGTTGTTATCAACAACGGTTACAAAACATTTCCATGCACAAAATTATCAATATGATAAGTTGATATTAAATTTAGGTTAGTTTAAAATCGTCTAATAAATATATAGGATATAACATTTAAGTGATTTCTTGTCCGTTTTTAGCATTAAAATATTTAACATGTTCAACATTAACAATTCGTTTGACAGGCATAGCGTATATTAATAATCAAATTCAAACATGTCTAGAATATTCACAATATCGTCATCATCGTAAACATCAATTGGCATGTTGTACATCACAACAACAACAACATCAACAGCAACAATTATTTTCGTTATCCGAATCAGATGATGAATCAACATCTTCGACACATTCCTCTCGCACTTCATCTTGTTCATCTACTACTACTCAACAGTTACAAAAAAAAGTTTCATCATCTATCGTGTGTCAACCTAAAACAACAAGTAGTTCTGACGATCATCATCATCACCATCATAAACATCATAAACACCATAATGAACGAAAATTAGCTAAATGGCTAGTTGAAAATAAAATTGTTGAATATTTATTTGGACCGAATTTACATACAGAATTATTAAAACAATGTCAAACGATATTAAATTTTTTAACAGAATATCATTTTTTAACATTTGAACATTTAGGTAAGCTCTATTCACACTCGTTGACCGTATTTTGATATCACTAATATTATCTCTACTCATTTAGATCTGATTTGGTCTTGTGTTGGTTTAACACATTGTAGCCGTCATATTATTGATATTTTATTGCAAAGTCAACGTTATTTTAACAGTAATTTACTGTTACATTTATTAGGTTTAATTGAAAAATATGATCGACAGTGTTATAATGAACATATTTTAACTCTAATTAGTATTTTAACCAAATCTTATTGGACTCTTCTTTTAATATCATCAACAACAAAACAACAGCAACAATTGAAACGTCAACAACAACAACAAGGGACGACGAATAAACAACAATTAAATCGAAATAATAATCATCGTCAGTTAAGTTTAAATTTCTTAAAACGTGAATTTCATCAAAATAAAAATAAAATATTAACAATTAAACAAAATCAACAATCCCCATTGAAAAGAATTAATCAAAATCATCAACATCATAAATTAAGAAGTAAAAACTATTTAATATTGAAACAAACTTCACAATTTCCACGAGCAAGACAAATAGGTAAGTAAATTGTATCTCTCGACATAGGTCCTCAATTTTTTGACTAAAACAAACTTACTATGTTAAGTGTTGTATATTTTTGTATTTTTAGCTCGATCAGAAAGAAAATCCATCCAACAGGAAGCTGTTCTTCGTCGAACATCACCTGTCTATCCCATGACACCTATATTAAAAAAAAATTTGAAGAAAGATCAACAACAAAATAATGATGAAAATCATGAAGAAATAATTATTGTTGATGATCAAACTTTAGGTATGGCAATGAAATCAGACGTAAAACAAATGCAACAACAACATTCAAAACTAGAAAAATGTTTAATTAGTCCCCGGCAACATCAGAGACAACAACAACAAGAACAAATATTATCATTACAACAACAGAATATTTTAAAAGTAGTAAAACCACCGTTACAATCATTAACAAACAAAAGTGTCAATAAATCATTAACATCACAGCAACAACAACCAAATACGGGCACTTTATTAACTCGACAAATAGAAAAAACGGCGGAAAATCCGACTGTTGGAGAAGATGATTGGTCAGATGAAGAAGAAGAGGACTTAAATGAAGATTGTGATACAAGTGCCTACAATCTAGGTAATATTGAACATGTTAAAGGTTGCATAAAATACAAAAAACTGTCTCTATTTTGAGCGAATACTTTATTATTTGACTGAACTTCTAACTCGTGCTCTAAGAGTAATATATGCAACGCCAAAATGGAACTATTTAGGCCTCATTTATCACTGTTAGCGATAATTGTATCGATTTTTCACAATTCCGTTATATTTATTTAGAAACAAGTGGTGATATAATGAATGCATCAAATTCATCCGAGCAGGAAGACGAGGAAGAAGAAGAGGATGGTGAATCATCTACGAATGAAAATGAAACACCTGCTATTGTTATGGTAAGATAAACTTGAACGTATCTTATCAGTTGAACGAAAGTCACATGTCTGCGTCTGAGAGGAGTACAAATCCGATATTCTTTTAAAAGTTCTGTATATTAATAGAAAATAGAACTAGACCTTTCTTTTGCAGTGGAGATTGAACCAAAGACACACTAAAAATAACATGTTTGTACTACTATATATTTTAATGTTCGTAGTCAAATCGAAGTGATGATGAAGAAGAAGACGATGAAGACGAGCAAGATACGTCTGGTGTATCTCTAATGAATGTAAGTAGTAAAAGTCTGATTTATGTGTTTATCAAATACCAGTCTTCTACTTACATTATCGCATTGTTTAATTAACTTGATAAAAAACCGAGCAGCTAAGAGTTTTTAGTACCAATATTTTAGTCTGAGATCGACAGACGAGAGTCACTCTTTTAATTACTTTCAGTTAGTCAAAAAAATTCTTTATAAGATCATCCTTGATGAAGCCTCAAAACCAAAGTTTGGAATGAACTATTTGAACCATAATCGTCTCTAAATAGTTTTTATATGCTAAAAACGCCAACATGTTACCATAATAACTTATAACTTTTTATAATAAACTAAAACGCCAACAAGGACTTTTTATGTCTAGGACATATATTCTATTTGCTTTCAGACCTTTCAACCACGCAACCCATCAACACCAAGAAAAAGACTCTCATCGTTAACGCAAGCTTCCGGATTTTTAGTCAATATGGAAATTGATGAGAATGAAGATGCTGAAGGAGAAGATGAATCAGAAGAACTTGAAAGCAATGGGGAAAAAGTTCAAAACTTAAAAAAAAAATCAGAAGAAACCCATCAAACAAAAAAATCTTTAGATAAAGTATGTCAAAAAAGATCTACCGTATAATATTTTCACCATCTATTTTTGCCGTTCTACTTTTTTGCATAGAAATATTCACCAGACAGTGCTGAAAGTCAATCAAATTCACAAACTGGCTCATTACCATCAGAAATGGAAATGGAAATATATGATTGTCAAGACACCAATGCTAATGAAAGAAAAAGGTATTGACAAAACTTACGATCAACTGTCCCCAATCTAAACATACATTGCTTGAATTTGGCAACGAAATCAGTATAAGATTTTAATGAAATAACAGTTTTTGATGTAGTGCAGTAAAGTTATTTGAACTGTTAGTAAATTTGAGATTTTTATTTTAGACATCGTCATGGAGATGATGACGAAGAGTATGCATCGTCTAACGGTTCGGATATTTTGAGTGATACAGGTTCGGTTAAAAATATGGCTGATTTTGATGATCAAAGTGAAAATGATGAAGAAAGTAGTACACGAACACAGCCAATAATCGATACGACTACTGCTCAACAACAGCGCGCTACATTGATTGTTACGAAAAAACATCAACAACATCAACGTACAAAGCGTAAAACAAGTGAAACAAGTCACTCATCTCAATCATCGTCTGGTGGTTCGTCAAGCATTTCGTCAACATCGACAAATAGTGATGGAAATAGTAGTAAAAATGAAGAAGAAATTATTCTTAGTCAATTATCAAAACCTGGACAAACACTTTTGTGGGATTTGTTGATGGAACAAGATAAAACATTACGCTTGCAAGATCCATTACTTCAAGAAGCCGAACGTTCATTTGGACATTTATTAATATCGTGTGATGACAAACGAATTGTTTTACATTTCATATCAGCCAGTTTAGATAATTTGAGAAAAAGCAGGTTAGGAGCATGAAGTTTGTCATTTTTCTGTTAGCTTCTCTGTTCAGAAAGTAGAATGATGTAATAGCTCGTTTGACTAATCTTGTATTCGTTTTATTTTTAGTTCCAGTTTAGTTTCATTACGTTTATTACCCAAATTATTTTCATTCTTACAACAAAAACATAATCGTCCAAATCAGAGTGTACTTAATATTTTCGATGAAAAATATCATATTTTAAACGCGTTTTTTAACGACTTACAACAATTGGCAAGAAAAACACTTGAGCAACAACAATCACCAACGAATGGGTACGAACTTCGGCTATGTTAACATTTTGAAAGATAAAAATTAAATTGTTATTATTTTTAGGTTGTCAACATCAATTCAAACTGAAATACAAGTTCGTCTACAATTTTTGACCTGTATATTTTCCAGCAATGTAACACCAAAAGAATTTCGTATGTGTTTGTGCGAGAAGTTTGAACAAATATCTATCTTTTTCTTTCTACGTTTAGATTTAACTCAAACTCAAGCAACAATGTTATGGGATTGTTTAACGATTATTATGGCGTCCGCATCATCATCGCCTAGTCGAGAAGATTTACACACATGGTTATTGAATCAATTGAAAAATCGAGATGGTGGTCATGCATTGTCCTTAGATACGTTCAAATATCTTTTAAGCGAAAAGGTTAAATCGTTCCCAGCTCACTCTTCCATGGATAAACGTTTGTATCCATTTTTTAGTTAATAACTTTGAATCCTGAACATGCTTGTTGTCAACAATTGAATTTAATTCAAGATATTCTTCAGCAATATCGTGTTCATTGTTGTACATCCTTGCAACATCAACAACAACATGAACCACATCAATTATTCCAGTTTCAACAACAATGGAATGAATTTCATATGTTTGAATCAATGATTCTAAATTATATTAGTGATGTTGCTATGAAAGCGTATGATCAAAATGTTGGTACCTTAGCGGCACAACATCTAAACATGTATCAAATACAAAATGAAGATGGTACATTAGAACGTGAAGAACAATTTATTAATCGATGTATGTCATGTTTAAAACAAATATGTGATGGTGGTGAAACAACTAAAACACTACCAGAAAATAAACTAAGAATGATTACAAGAATAACAGTATTATTACGAACACATTTAGATTTATTTATGAAACGTTATTCGTTTGTTATAAGAATGTATCAGTTTATGTTTAACGAACAACAACAGCAAGGTAAAAATATGCTAAAAGTTCGAAAACAAACTCAGTAAGCACTTGTCGCTTCGAGACTTGTTATTTATTTCTGATGGTTTTTTCTTTCTATCAAAAGATGATAATTTGTTTCACTTTAGAATTATCATTTGTTGATAAAAATGTTCATTTTCAACAAAAAATGTTAAAATCTCATTTGAAATACATTGATGAATATCAACATCAATCTCAACAACGAAATGATTGTTTAAAATTAATATGTAATTCAACGTTAATTGGAAATCAAACACCCGATAAAATTATTTTAAGAATGTCTCCCACTGAATATTTGGGTGATTTACGAGCAGAATTAACACGATGGTATTCAACAATAAAACAAACAATTTTAACTACTACAACCACCACAACATTAACAACAGTTGAAAAAACAAATGAAAATACAACAACAATTGTACCACCACCACAACGACAAACAACATATGATACACATATTCGAATTGTTACCAATGGACAAGAGTTAGATCGAGATATGGATGAAAAAACATTAGCTGAATGTAATTTAAAAGATAATCAAGTAAGTATGTTAGATATCAATGAGCAAAAAATTTTCACTTCTATATAATTAGTACAATTTGTTGTTCTTTTTTTTTAGGTGATCATTGTTTCTTCGACACCACGTATACGAATGAAAGATACGTGGGCTATTGAAGAACGTTTATTACGAGATTTTATACCACATAAAATGCCAATGATTATATTATTACGTGATGATTATTTTGATCAATTTTTTAATATATTAGCTCAATTACAATTACTTGTTGAATCATCAACAGATGTAAGTTTTTATCACACCCTTTAGTCGTAATCTTTACTTTATTTTTATTTTTTGTTTAAGCATACCGAAGCTCGTTATCTTGCTCATCGTATATGGGAAATTTTATTATTGATTCCTACTCATAATGGATTACTCGAAAAACTTGAACAACTTCATTTATTTGATAATGAACAATGGTCAAAATATTTTAATCGTAATGATCCGTATCGTTTAACATACTCGTTACAAATAGTGGACATGTTAATACGTAAAAATCAGATTTTAACCGATGAATCTACTCTAACTTATCGTGATTTATTTACTCAAAAAAATGGAATTAAATATTTTTATGAAATTCTTATATCAAGATGTTTATTACCCGTAAATGAAAATAATTGGTGTCAAGCTTTACCAGACGCATTGTATCGTCTATTACATGTCTTGTCTCAATGTTTATTTAAACCTCAACGAACTGTTTCACAACCTACACCACCCGTTATTCCTCCACCGCCATCTCTAACAGCCTCAACAACAGTTGGAACATTTGAAACAATAAATGGAGGACAATCATCGAAGAAAAAACCACGTCGCGAAAATGGGAGTGCGCCGGCAATTGTAGCCGCTCTGACATTGCAAGGTAAAATGAAAGATTATCGATCAGTCTTTAGAGGGTTATCAAGTTCACTTATCGATATTTGATTTGATCTAATATTTTTTGACAATTTTTTCTCTTGTAGATTCTATCAATGAACAACCTCAACAACAACAAAATCATTCTGTATCACAACCACCTCCTGTACAACAACAACAGCAGCATCAGTATGCAATAATTGAACCTAATTCTGAAAATTTATCGTTAATTGATAAAGATTTATTATTGCAATGTCTGATCGATATTCAATTATTAATTATTAATAAAACTACATTGCCACAAGTTGTTTGTCCGTGTATGTATGCCTTCTTTGCTAATCGAACAGAAATATTGCATCAGTCAATGACACTCTTAACTCCATTATGTTATTATTATGAAAGTATTCGAAGTCAATTTTTAAAATATGAACAATTAAAATTATGGTTAAAAACATTAATATTAGATGCACATGAACCAATGTTAAGACGTGAAGCAGCTCTATGTATATTTCGTTTAATCATAGCACCAACAACTTCACAAGGTAAAAAGTTTTCACAATAGATCACATTGAAAAATGTTACTAATTATTTCATTTTTTAGGATCAACAAATGTTTTAAGTCAATCAATTTCATTAAATCCATTCTTGATTCCTATTGATATACCACCTCCAACTCAACGATTACTGGACGACGAAAAAAGTTTAACATTATCAGCTATTGCTCCAACTTCTCTTCCTTCAAGCGATCATCTACCAGAACGTGTTTGTCTTCTACCAATTTTAACTTCTTTACTCGAATTATTACCATATACCCTAAAATTTTCGTTAAACGATTTGACTCCATATATTCCCATGCCTAATTCATTGAATATATCTGTATCATCATTATTTTCACAATTACCATTGCCTGTTATATCTCAATCAACTACAAATACTATCACAAAAACGAATTCACACGATCTTTCACAACATTATCCACTTCTTGTACTTCAATCATGTCATGAGTATTTTTTATTATTAACATGGATTATTGATTGTATGCGTCTTGATGAAATTAAATCTGTTAAAATTACTATTGATGAACAACATGATAATATTAATTTTAATCAATTAGTTGAATTATTAATGACCTATATTCATGAACGTTTACCGTATGAAGCACAGCGCGAAAAAATTGTTGAAGATGATGTTTTATACGGTTTACTCTGTTTATTATCATCAATTATTAAACAAAATAATTCACATTTAAATAAATTTCCATCATTCTTAGCGAATTCAAATTATAATCAAATGACATTATTATTAGTTGAACGAATCTATAATTATCTATTTGAATTACCAACAAATGAACAACGAAATGTTCCAAAATGTAAATCACAGATAACACGTCGTATTTGTTATGAATTATTAGTGGAATTAGTACGTTTAAATAAGGATAATTTTATTTTCTTACAAAAAAAATTATGTGAACAACATCATTGTAAGACGCAACATTTACCATATCAATGGGAATATTGGCCAAGAGATGATGGACGAGCTTATTGTGGATACGTTGGTTTGACAAATTTAGGTAAAGATAAAACTAACACATCTCTTAAAATAACGAGATATAATCAAATCTGAAGTACACTTCTACTAGACAGAGATCTTTAAAAGGTATATGAACATACCGTTTGCTACATGGGTACAATTGTTCTAATCTTAGTATAACATAAGCATTTTTTTATATGTTTATTCTAGGTGCCACATGTTACATGGCTACAAGTATGCAACATTTATATATGATACCTGAATTACGTGCAGCCATATTAAAAACGACTAATAATAATAGTAATAATTTATCTAATGATAAAAAACATGGACAGATACTTTATGAATTAAAACGAATGTTTGCTTATCTATTAGAAAGTGAACGAAAATCTTATAATCCAAAAACATTTTGTAAAGTTTATACTATGGCACATCAACCATTGAATACTGGTGATCAAAAAGATATGACAGAATTTTTTACTGATTTAATAACAAAATTAGAAGAAATGTCAGATGAATTAAAAACATTAGTAAGAGAATTATTTTGTGGTATTTTAACCAATATTGTTCTCTCATTTGATTGTCCACATTTATCACGTAAATTAGAAGAATTTTATACTGTTCGATGTCAAGTGGCTGATATGAAAGATTTATATGAATCATTGAATGAGTTAACTGTGAAAGATACATTGGAAGGTGATAATATGTATACATGTTCAAAATGTGCAAAAAAAGTACGAGCTGAAAAACGTGTATGTTTTCGAAAATTACCAAAAATTTTATGTTTAAATACGATGCGTTATACATTTAATATGGTGACAATGCAACGTGAGAAAGTTAATACACATTTTTCATTTCCAATGCAATTAGACATGAGTGGCTATATGGAGAAAAATTTGATTGATCCAGATAAATTAGTAGCTGATGATGATGAAAATATACAAAATGAAAGGTAGAGTTTTTATTGTCTATAGTCATATTTCCTTCAGTATTACTACAATAACATGATTAATTTAGAAACACGCGAGAAACTTGTGTCACTTTTTTCTGACGATCAATTGTTATTCTAAAATTGTACTATTCTATTTTTTAGTATGAATATGTCTACCACATCAACGGCAAATAAATCTGTAAATACCCCTTCAGAATTATCTCTCTTTGAATTAATTGGTGTTACTGTTCATACGGGTACTGCTGAAGGTGGTCATTATTATAGTTTCATACGTGATCGTGTTAAACGGCATACAGCATCAACAACCAGTAACGCAACTGATGAACAACTACTACCACAACAGCAAGATTCTCAACCGCGTTGGTATTTATTTAATGATGCTGATGTAAAACCATTTGATCCAAATCAAATAGCTAATGAATGTTTTGGTGGTGAAATAACAAGTAAAGGTTATGATCAAGCGCAAGATCGATTTCTTGATTTTCAGTTTGAAAAGACACATAGTGCCTATATGTTATTTTATGAAAGAATTGATCATGTATCATCATCACCAACACAAGTTGATTTGGTTGCACAAGGACAACAATCGTAAGTTTTATTATTTTTAAATAAAAAATAAATAGAAATTATGAGATGATGATTATTTTCTTTATTGGAACTTTTAATATTTTTTTTTGAGAAAAAATGGTAAACTACAATTCGATTCTTTTACTCTTTTTTTGCACTCTGTAATTGTTTTCTCTAGAACTTTGTTTCTATTTAGACAACCTCAACAAATTGATACAACGATTTCTCTATTATCACCAGCAGCAACAACAACAACAACAACGACAACATTACTATTAAAAGAAAATCAAATATATTCGATACCAGCTGATATTGTCGATTGGATTTGGGAAGATAATCGACGTTTTATTCGTGATCGTCATCTATTTGATCATCATTATTTCACATTTATGTGGCAAATATGTCATCAACCTATGAATACAATTATCAAAGAACAAGATCAATCATCATTTTTCCTACTACCCATTCAATTAGCTATTACATTTGTTTTTGAAACATATATACATGCAAAAGAAAAACCAACAATGTTAAATTGGGTTGAATATTTATCAAAACAATTTACAGCATCAAAACCAGCTGCCATCTGGTTTTTATCACATATGACCAATGATGATACATGGCTAATTAAAGTACTTGTCAAATGTCCAAATCATACAATTAGACAAATGTTTGAACGTGTTTTATTAGATGTATTGCATAAATTAAGATCATCATCCGATTCGCAAAGGTAATCACAGAAAACATCTTATAACTATGAATTGTATAAGGACAGTGAGGCATATTTGACGGGAGACCAAGTTTAGTTTTGAGTGCATGTTAGAATGGTACTTACGTTTTGTAAAGTTAACTTAAACACTTTTCAAACATTCATTACCATCGAAAGTATGTTACGAATAATTGAATATTTTTTTTCTTTTTGTTCTAGCAATCTTTCTGCTGACAGTTCATCCGTTGTTGTTCAAAAATTTCTTCGAAAATATCTCTCTCTTTTATCGGACGGTCTTCGTTTACCGATTCGTTATATGAGCGAATATTTTGCGTTTTTACATGATTTTGCTCGTAATGGATGCGATGAATGTTATCTATTATTAGATTGTTTGTGTATTAAACAATTAGTCACTTTTTATATGTTGCATCGTCGACAGCAAAAATCATCACAACAAAATCTGGTCGGTAATGATGATCAAAGTAATTCAGAAGATGAACAAAATCCATCGATACCACAATCAATTAATAATACATCATCATCAAATTGTTGTATCGATGATGATGTTATACCACTAAATGAACATCAATCAACACGTTTAAATCGTCCAGCTATCTTTGAAAAAATGTTTCCATTAATTGTTTTACTATTAGAAGCAGCTCGTTTAAGAACGCAACCAACATCATCATTGAGTCCACCATCTTCATCTCAACAACAATTACAAGGCTATGAATTAAATGAAGCTGATTTATCATCGTTGATTGGTACCGATGTGGATTTTCAATTTATTCAACAACAAATTCTTGATAATATTAATTTGAAATCAACAGCATCTATAATTCAATTAATATGTTATAATAAACATATATTAGCGAATAAATTATGTACTCTACTGTGTACATGGATACATAAGTATCAACAAGATGCAAATCATTTACAGGCATTTTTCAAAATATTTACTTATCTTGTTGAACAATATCCACCTATAACGCTGACGACAACTAATGATACATCAAATAATACTAAATCTCAAAGGTTAATAATAAATAGTAGAAAAATTATCAGTCATTCTCTCTGACATTTTGTAAAAGATAATTAGTTTTATCTTAATCTACAGAAGTTCGGCTTGATCAGCTAACTGTACTACCGCAGTGAAATTCCGTCACAGTTTTTTTGCATTTTGTTTCTCTTTTCATTTCCGAACGGCAAGACGTCTAGGCACCTTTAAATACATCACATTTTTATCACATTTTCTGAATGAAAGATCGTGTAGAGTGCGAGAATATCTCAAAATGTGCAACACACTTTTCTCTTTAATCTTGGATCTCTCAGAGCCCTGGGCGTCTTATCGTTCCGTTGTGATAAGAGAAACAAAATACAAAATCAAGCCGAATTACAGCTTTTTCAAGTAACCTGTACTAGACTGCCTTGTTATGTTTTTACGTGGAGAGATATGATACTGACATGTTTTCTTAGAACTCTTTTCTGATAGATGACATGTAGTAGTTGACCACCATTCTAGTCTATTTTCATTTTTTCTAGTGATGATCAATCTCAATTTGAAACGATAGTGCGTCCCGATTTATCATGGACAAATTTTTCAACATTAATTGTTCATCATATAAATAAATTAATTGAAATATGTGCCGTTCAAGTATTTGATTGGTTTAATACTGTTCTATTGAAGTCATCATTTATTCAACAATGGGTATTAAACAATATTCGTCCATGGTTAAAACCCTATTTATTATATAATTCTCAAACACGAATTCGGACATTAATTGCTCAATTATTAGTTACACTTGTACCATCACAAACATTTCGTCAAACGTATCGTGCCACTAAATATTATCAAACTTTATCTCGTCAACCATTATCAACAACAATAACATCAACAGGTAGCAATTCTGGTGCAATAACATCGTTATTAAATATTCAAACAACAACGAACACAACAGCCATTTCAAATGCACCGTTAGCACATCTGTTTGATGTACAACAATTTCAGCAGTATCCAGCTGATTTTACACAAGAAACACACGATATTATTAAACAATTGCTCTTTTATCTGTTAAATATACTTAATGATATTAATCAGGAACAATTGCACGGTAAATATCAACTATAAACATTGAAGTTTATTATGCTAGAATTTATTTTTTTAGATCATCCTCACATTTTTGATAGTCAACAACGTCTGACACAGTATGCTTCCTGTCTTATTCATTTTACACGTTATCCAAATGAAAAATTATTAGCAATAGAATATATACGTCCATTGTGTACACTAATGTTATCGCCAAAACTCACTGAAGATCACCATATGAATAATTTAAATAAATTAGTTTTATTCATTTTACTTCATCAATTATGCTCATCACCAAATAATACTAACAACAATAATGTTATAACAACTATATTAAATACTCATTCTGAATTTAAACAACAATTACCACAGTATTTGATTGTTGTCGATCATGAAGATCAAGAATTAGTATTATATAATCGTTTATTTTTATATATTTATTATTCTCTTCTTCGAGAATTTTGTCAGACATCTAGAGAGTATACAAAACATTTAGCACAACATAAAAATTTATTATGGGCACTTAAAAATGTTTTACCCTATATACATTTATATCAAAATGCCTGTGAAGAATTAGTTAATATTGTTAAATTAATATGTAAAAAACAAACACAATCAAAACTCGGTAAGTATTCGTTCTTTGATTTAGATGCAACGAAACGAGGTGAATAAATCTGAAAAAGAACACTTCCCACAGCCGCTATTGAGATAAAAATATATATCAGTTGATAATACATGTAAATGTTTTCATAATGCTGAGTATTGTCTCTTTAAGTGAATTATTAATTCTTAAAAAACATACGATTTTCTAGAAGATCTTAGAATGATGCAAAATTGAATCGTTTTTTTTTGACAAATTACAACATAACGTAGAGAAAAATATCCTTCTCAAAATGAGATATTGTACAGATCAGTACGACATTTTATTCGCCAAGTTAGAACTGATTTACTACAACTTCTAAAAACATCTCAACTATTTAAAATGGGTATTTGTTTTTTGATTAGCAGTACACTATATTTCAAAGAATTTTTCCATATGTTGAACCGTAGAACGATACCAAATTTTCTATTAATTCGATACGAGAAAGAAAGCTGCGGCGAATTTCAAAATTAGACTCGAGTTGGTTGAGAAACCCAGGTTTTATGAAAACACTTAGAGTATTTCAACAGGTTTTAAATTTTAAACGCTATAAAAAATTCAAAAGAGTAAAAGTCAAAAACTCACTTCCTACATTCGATTGGATTGATTTAATATCAATCCGACCTTTCTAACTTATAATCTAAATCTGAAAAACATTTTTCTACAGGATGTATTCTACCTTTTGTTCTCTCAAATTTCGAGAATGGTTGTCTGTAATGAGTAGGAATGTTCAGTTCTCGGTTCCGGTTCTCTAGTTAGAACCAAAACGAAAGAAATCGTGGTTATCGGTTCTCAGCTTAGAACCGGAAAATAATTTTACGAGAAGAAACAATTGTGCGAAATAGAATTCATTTTATAGTAAACGAAAGAATTCTTTTAAATTATGACAGGCAAATAAGAGAACCGTGGTTCCGGTTCTTCACGAGAACCGAGAACCGAACATGTCTAGTAGAGAGTTAAAAATTATTTTGCAATTATCATATGACATCCTCTGTGATTGCTGAAGTTTTCGTTAAAATCGAATGTAAAATGAAAAGGTTCTCTCTCGCTGTAAGAAGTTCTCCTTAAGTCTCTATTTCAAAACTCAATATATACTTAACTTCACTTTCAATTTCAGATTCCTCTATAGATGTGAATGTTCTTCAAACGATTGATAATAATAGCAATAGTGATGAACGTATTATATTTGAATTTAAAAAAGAATTTTATCAATTATTATTTCGTCAATTTGATGCTCGTATATGTTGGTCAACAATGTTTGATTTAATTAAAGATATTTGTCCTGGAACAACGACACACGAAGAATATTATCAAATAATTATTCGTCGTGGTCTCTCAACATTATCAACAATATTTTCTATTTTATATCAATATTATCATGAACAATGTTCACCATTAAGTCAACATTTATCATTTCAAGCCGATTTAATTCAATTATTAACATTGTTTTGTCATTTATTAGATACTTATAAATATTATACTGATCAAAAACAACAGACAACATACGTACGTCCATTAAAAGATGCTCTTGAACAATGGAAAGAAAAAATGGATTTATTAACAAAATTATTTCAATTATTAAATTCATTTAATACAACAGAATTAAGACAAAAAACATTTGATGTTATTAAGAAAATAATTGTTACATTAAATATTCAAGATTTAACATTAATTTGTACTCATATTAAAGTTATTCATGAACAATCGAGTATTCAACATCATCAACAGTTAGGACCCTATTTTCCACGAAGAAATATCAAACAACAGACATTACCACAAATACCACGACAAATATTTCGTCCTCATTTTGGAATGTATTTCAAAACACAATTATTAGAAACATCAAAAGGAAGAGATTTAGGTATGTTTTTATTTTCATACTAGCCTAACATGAGACATTCATCTACTAATTTCTTTATTTTTTTTCTATTATTTTAGATTTTGATCGTAGTGTACATTCTTATTATTCTCCTTATCATAATCTAATTGATAATATTGCACGTTTAGCCTACAATCAAACTGCATTGAATGGTTCAATTATGAATTTGTTAATATTGGTGGCATGTGAAGGTGCCTATATGCATTTTACGTTTTTTCCGATATTATTTTTAGAAATCTATGATTCAACAGAAACATCGGCACGTGTCATTATTCAAGATATATTACAAACATCACCATCTTATTATTTACATCGTTATATTGAAATTGTTCTTATTGATGAACGTATTTCACTATTTCAAACTGAAATTTATCGTTTTTTACATATTTATTTACCTTTAATACTAAATGTATCGACAAATAGTAGTACTACGTCTACTCATACATCGGGTAGTGATCAAATAGCAATATTTAATCAACGTTTACAACAATTATTAACAAAAACAATTGATATTTGTTTACAATCAATTACAAATGAAATGCAAACAAATTTAGGTGAGACAAGTGTTTTTCAGTATAATATGATCGTTTTAACGACTATGTGAAAGTAGTAAAAGAACAAATTCTTTTCGAATATTCCAAAATAGTTCATTGTTGATTCGATTTGAATTTCTAGCGTTCTACATGCTTTTCATTCAATAACTATATAGTTCAAGAGGATATACATTTATGAGAAATGATTTGACTGAATTTGAAATAAGTGTCTTTTTTTTATACTATGAACTCATAAATTATCTATTTTTTGTTAAAAAATTCGTTGTTCACTTTTTTCAACTATAACATAATTAATTTATTTTACTATAATTTTAGATTTTGTTCAACATTTTACATTAATCGATTATTCTCATAAACAAATAATTGGCGATATAAAAGCACTTGACTTATGTTTACATTGTAATTTAACAAATGATAAAATTAAAGAAATAATTGAAGAAAATATTCAATCTATTAAACAAAAATTAGTATCGACAACGATCAATGATGATAGTATTAATAGTGAAAATGATCAACATGACACTGGTTCAATAAGTAATGATGATGATAATACTAGTACACCAATAAAAAAACGTCGATTAGATGATAATACTGATAATACAGTATCAATAACAAAATCTTTATTTAAAACGTCTAATACTTCACCATCAACAATAGAAAATACAGATTTAAAACGAAAAGCTATTACGGATGCATTACAAGTATTAGAAACATTTCTTGTACAATTATCTGTTGTACAACAATCATCAACAACTTTACAACCGGTTTAATTTTTTAAAAAAATTAGTAGTAGAACAAACTTGCTTTTTTTTTTCGTGTTATTTATTAAGGCAACGCTCTTTTATTTCTTATTCATTTGTACGTTCCTATATATATATATATATATCTTCTATTCTTTTTTGTTATTCTTGTATTAAATTCTCTTTCTTGCACAAAGCGAGCTCAAATATGCTACTATACGTGTGCTTCGAACGACGTACATGCTTTTTATTAATGAAGTATGTGTAAAAATCTAAACAAGAAATATCTGACAAAATAATGTGTGTATGTATGTATGTGTGTGTGTGTGTGTGTGGTCTTATTTTTTTTTCTTATTGTTGTTATTCTGTTTGTTTTTGTGCTTTTTTTTTGTTCTTTGTATGAAACAAATATTTTATTGCAAACAGATAAAAAAGCCAAGAAATCAATGACGAAATACAAAATGTCTAACTTAAATAGAATGAGTTATCCATTTAACTCTTTTTTTAATGGATTTTATCAAATATAAAGCAATGACTTTGGCTATTTCCGATTGAAACTATCCTTAACTATCATTAATGTTTTATTATTATGAACATTTCTTATTTTGTGGAATGGCCAAAGTGTTTTTCATCCATAATAATTATCGCATTTCAGTTTGTACTTATCATATGAAAACTACTTTAACAAACAATTTTGAGAATCAAAAAAATGATTCTATACTTTTGATTTGACGTCAAATGTGTGTGGTCTCTTCGAAGATACGACAGACACACTTTCTGAGGTAACGAAAATTTAATATTATAAGGGTTATACATTGGATATTCCCGACAAAAAAAGAAAAAGAGACGTTAAAGATAATAATGTAGGATGCGAGTAGTGACACAATATAACTGCTTGTCATATTTTATTATAGATTATTGTTTTCTAACTCAAAAAAATGGAGTTTAAAAATTCTGTGGAAAGTAAGTTTGTTTAAATTTATAGTTTGAAATTTTACTTGTTTGTACAACGTCTATTCTTTTGTTATTTAAAGCATTAATCATAGCTTTAACGGACTCATTGGCTGATAGAGAAAAAAAAGTTCAAGATAGCGTATCAACATCCATTTATGAAATAGGTAAAAAATTACCAAAATTAACAACAACATTATGTGCAAATTATTTAGAAAAACATCAAAAAGTATGTTAGATGGATTGTTAATCTAACACTTGTTCCGCTATTTTATATATATATATTTTTTTTTAGTTACCTGAAACTCATCGTGCATCAATTCTTCGCGTTATTGAACGAATATTAAATTATCATACAGAATCATGGGATCAAGAATCATTAGAATTAATCACAAAAGTAGCTGTTAGTGAATTAACAATGCCCAAAGTACGATACAAATATTCAAAATTTTATCTCTGATGTATTTTTTAACTTTTATTATATTACTTTTTTAAAGGAAATCATCCCTGTGTGGCAAACAGCTGCTAGTGGTAAGTTAAACGTCTATTTTGTCAATCAATAATTAAATCTCTCGTTTATTTTTAGATGTTTTGGTAGAAACTGGTAAACATGATCCAAATCTTGTTTGTACATCATTAGCGCCATTTCTTCAACCGGGTCAATTACCACAATTTTTTGTTTTACAAACAATGGGAAATTTAGCAGAAGCAAATCGTACGTATAATTTTATTTTTTTTCAATAATATAATTGAATATTACTAAATGATACATTTTATTTTTTAGCTAAAGGTATGGTTCACAATTTACGAATGTTATTTAGTCGAATTTTACCAATGATGGGAATGGTAAAGCAAGAAAATTATCGCTGGGTCTACACTGCTGGTATGTGTATGTTAGATTATTTTTGTATTTGCTCTATTATATTATATATTTTTTCTAGTTTTATATAAATTTTGTTTGGCATTAATTGATTTTCAAGCAAATGCTGACGAACAAACACGTGCTACATTTTCACCACAACAATTTGAAAATGATGCATTTTCTGCCTATGAAGTATTATTAACTGGATCATGGGTGGGAAATAAAGATTTGAAAGTAAATACATAACAATGTGTGTAGATGTAAATATTTATATTCTTTATTTTTCCGGGTCCGCAATATATGTGTTCAAGCAATTGGTCGTCTCGTTTATTTATTTTCACAAACAAAATTTAATGAACAATTTCCAAAATTATTACAAAATATTCTTAGTTTTTATAAAAAAAATGTTGATCATTTATATGTTAGTGAGGTAAAAGAGTTTATAATTTTTTACAATTTGATAAATAATAATATGTTCATATTTATAGGCATTAAACTCAATTGTTTCATTAGCACATGAATGGAATAGTCCACATTTGAAACCGTCAATAGAACTCATCATGAAAGATTTATTAACTGAAGTAAAGATGTCTAATAAAATAGTCAACTATCATTATATTATCTATTTTAATTTTTTTAGATTCAAGCAAATAATGAAGCGTATGAAAATGGTCTTGAACAAGCGGTTAAAAATCAGAATGAACTTTTACGAACACTTACAACATTAGGTATTGTGTAGACATTTTTTGAATTTCATTTTTTTAACTAATGTTTGTCATTGGAAAATAAAAAGGAAAACATTCTCCATCAACAATTTGGCCTTGGCTCCTTCAACGAATGGAACAAGCTGGGAACAATGATAAATTACGTATCGTTCTATTAGTTATATATCGTCATCTTGTTTATACATATGGAAAAGATCCACCAACAACAACCATATTTGATTATAAATCTATACTTGTTTCAAGTTTAAGAACAGTATTGGGCGTATCAAATCCAAAAGTATGTATACAATTGAATATTAACAAAAATGATACTCATAATGATGATCTATATTGTTTAGATAATCAAATATCTATCGCAATTAATTGTGGCCATGGTATGTATTAGTATTCATTTTTATATAAGTCAATTTCTATTTATCATTTTCCTAGGCATGTCATGGATATCTACAATTAGAAGGACGAACATATTTGATTGAATACATTATTCGAAATTGTAATTATCAATTGACTGATGATAAACCATTAGTAATTGATTCTATACCATCGACTGATGTTCGAATTATGTGTCGAAATATTTTAAATGCATTTAGTTCAACAATCGAAGGAATGGATGAAGTATATTAATCAATTAATAATAAATCTTCACAAATAATTGATATCTTATTTTTAGATATTATGGCCCTTATTAATGGAATTTTTGACACCTGAAATGTATACAGGTTCATTTGGTATCCTATGTAAAGCGTTAACACAAGCTGGTACACAACAAATGAATATGAAAAAAGATACATTTTGGATTGATTATGAAGCAATGCCAAATTTACCTAAGCCAAATGAAATAATCACTCGATGTTTTGTAAGTAACAGTATAAATATTTCGATAAACTTTACGTGATCATTAACACTACGTTAAAGAAGAAAAAAAACTACTTTGCTGTGTAACATGAAGAGAGTGTAGATCATTTTTCAAAATAAGACGTTGTTCCATTTTGATTAATATATCAGATACTCAACGAATTGCTAATTAGTCTGTGAACTTGAATTATTACGATGGTGATAGTTCAACTCAGAACAAAATATATTACATAATTTTCTTTTCTAGTGTTTATTGGGTGAACCATTTGCAGAAGAACAGCGTGGAATATCAATAATGAATTTTTTAAAAATAGCTGTTACTGAATTAAATCCAAGTTTAAAAGAATTATGGGATAAAGTTATTCCACGTTTATTAGAAAATTTAAATGATGATGCTAATGCTTGGCAAGATTTAGTTTTAAAAGTAGATATTTTATAAAAATTTTATATATTAAATTGATCTAAACTTTTTAATTTGTTTAGCTTTTATCTAAAAGTCTCGATATTGTTGATCGTGAAGATTTTGTTACAGATATTGGTGCATGTTTTTTAAAACAATTACCATTATATACTAAATTACCGAAAGAACGTGGTTTTTCTTATAAATGTCTTGGTATTGTATTACGTAAATCAAAAATGAATGAATTAATTAGTCGTACATTAGAGACAATGTTAACTACTATTAATTTTCAAAATGAACACGAACGAATTGGTTGGGCAACAATGTTTGGTTTTTGTTCAACAACACATTTAGATCTTGTTTTACAACGATTAGAAGGATTTTTAAAATTAGATCCAAAAGGTGGTAGTGGTGGTCTATTTGGATTTTTAAAGGATAAATCTGATCCACAAACCGATATATGTCATTCAACAACAATATTAGCTTATTCTTATGTATCAATTTATGCACCATTAGAATTAATTGTTTCACGTTTAGAAACGGCAATATTAAAAAGTGCATGTGCAATTGCTCATTTGATCAAAGATGAAACAGCAAAATCTATTGTAGCTAAATCATTTGTTATATTAGCACAATCAATGAATAAAAATCATTTAAAAACAGATTTTACATTTGCATCAAGAAATTTAATGATACAAGAAATGAGTACGTATATTAGTCAAGATAGTTCCGTATTAAAACTTAATCCAGCAACATATAGTCAAATATTAAAAGCGTGTCATTCATTGATTATTCTTCAACCGGAACCAACACAAGTTGAACGTTATAATTTGGCTCGAACAACATTTCAATGGTATTTTTCAACAAAAACAGAAATAAATGCGAATCAACAAGAAGATATTGAAAAAACACTTGGTGCATTAGCTGTTGAATTAATTACATTAACTGATCCACATGAAACATTTCCAAATTTAGTTAATCTTCTTGAACCATATTGTCTATCAAATGTAACACACGAACGTCAACGTTCATTTCAAATTTTAAATGAAATTGTTTATGCTGACTCATTGAATTATGGTTTAAAAGAACAGGTTTGTTATTACATAAATTATAACTGATAATATCTATTAGATATGTTTGCTTTTTTACAGAATTCATCCGATGTTGGTGGAGCATTAGCACTCTGTCTTATACATATTACAGATTCAGATGCTAAAGTTCAATCACTGGCTGATAATTGCCTGCAGAAACTTTTACGTTTACAACCATACTTCACTATAGGTAATTTTTACCTTGTTTTTTATATTAAACTTATTTTATCTTGACTAACGTTCGATTTTATATTCAGAAACAAATCCTGATTCAATAATGCAAAATAATGGTAAAATCGATGATGAAGATAGAGTAGAAAAAGATGAAACAATTCAAGTATGTTGTTACGGACAGGTCTAACTGTATTGGGAGTTTTCTGATAATTTTATTATAATTTGTAGAATTTATCAAGTAAATTATCACCGCTTTGTTTATTGCCATTTGTTGAAAAATGTATCGATATAATATCGGATGTTAAATATGAAGGGAGTATAATGGCATGTAATGTTTTATGTAAAGTATTTGCTGTACGATGTGGTGAATTAACAGAACAGATTGAATATTTATTTACGGTTATGTATGAAAAATACAATAAATTGACAAATGATGATTTATTAAAATCATTACGTTCATCATTTAAACAATTGAGCATTTCATGTCCAACACGTGTATTTCAAACATTAATGAATTTTGGTGTACCGTACAATAAGTAAGTATAGAAATTAAAAAATATTATTATAAATTAAATTTTTTTTGTTTAGAAATTTAGTGACTATTATTCATGATATGGCAGACAATCGTGAATTAACAGAAGCTGTTTTAGCTCAAATAATGGAATGTTGGTCACGATCATTGCCATACGATGAAAAAGATTCACAACGTTATTCAACAGCGAATCCATTGATGGTAACAAATTAAATAAACTTAACGTCATCTTTTTGAAACATATAAATCTTTTTATTTAGGCATTATATCTTCTGAATGAATGGCTTCAATCTAGTCGCATGTGTGATTTGGGTTCTTATGCTTTTCCTCGTTTATTTGTTGCTCTATTCATACGTATGGCATCAAATGTCGATGCTCTTCCACCCTTAAATATACCACCTATTCGTCGTGTTTCACCTCGATCCGCCACAATCACAACACCTGTACCAACAGCAGAACCCGGTAAACGTGCATCAGAGTCATCATCTAAAAGACTGAGTCTGTTTGAATCAAAATCGTCTCGTTCGTCCACATCACAGTCTACTCAATCACAACAACAATCGCAAAATCAACCGATAAATGATTTAAAAAAAATTGAATCATGGAAATTATCAAATGATTGTATGAAAAATTTTTTACATGTCTATAAACTTGACCATATCAATGATTTAATGACATGGTCAAATATGGCTAAAGAAGATACGTGTCATAGCGGTTTTGAAACACTAGCTCAAGGTTTATGTAGTAATGGATTAGTAACAACAGAACATTTAAATGTTATCATCGAAATGTTAACAAGTGTACTCGATGGACCGTATGATATTCAACGAATATGTGTTACATCATTTTTCGCTCAAATGATTAAACTAAAACGCAATATTGAACTACAACAAGAAAATTATCGTCTTGCACAAGATTTAATACATAGTCTCTTAGGACGTTTAGTCGATCAAAATATCAATGTTAGAAAATTTTGTTTAAGAGGACTGGGAAATACACCGTTGAGAGATTTACAACAGGTACATTTTCTTCAATGTACATATGATTAATTAGTGTGTACTTTTTTTTAATTTGTAGGACAGAAATTTACCAACAACAATATTGGCTTCTCTTATATCCGGTCTCGATGATCGCGATGATAAAAATGATTTACTTACATTAGAGGCAATGTGTTCATTATCAAATGTGATCGATGTTATTAGTGAAGATGAAGTGCGACCAATTTTAATGAATGTTCTATTACGTATTCGACCATGTTTTGAAAAAGTATGATACAAAGTGTCTATAATTGATTGAAACCGAATTATCGTATGATTATATGTTTCTAGGATGCTCCAGAAGTTCGTCGTGCTTCGTTCACCTTGTTTGGAAAAATGGCATCAATTATAGATGGTCCATCACGCGAATCATTTATTGAACAAATATTTTCCTCTCTAATTACGTTAACATTACACTTAAATGATCCAAGTGATTTGGTTAAAGAAAGTTGTAAAACATGTTATCAAGCTCTTGCACCATTACTTGAACAAAAATCATTAAATGATTTATTAAAAAAAACATTTGTACCAAATGAACCATTCCACTACGGTGAATTTATTGATGATCTATGTAAAATTCTTGTATGTGAAAATAAAGGGAGAAAGTTAGAAAAAATATGAAAATTCTTTCTTCTCGTTTCAGGTTACACAGTACCCGTTTAAAATTAATTTCTTTATTATGAATTGTATCATGTTTTTCAAAAGTCCTGTTCCAGAACTGCGTGCAAATGCAGCGATTGTAGCAGGATATTTGTTATTTAATTTGAATGAGGAACAAATCCGATCATTGTCAAAAGAACATATACTTAATGGTAAGACACACTATACTCTCGTAATTAAAAGTATGCATCAGGTGTCGAAGACAGATACTATACATATTTTCTTCGTAGTATTTATCTAAGATATTTAAACTATGTCTTTTCATTTCACTGTTCAAAAGCGGTATTGTGGATTTCTTAAAAAGTGGAGGACATCTCCTAACTTTGAATATCACCTTGTTGAGAAATCATATGCATCGTTATGAAGAGTAACCATGTGTAATATAATGTTGCTCAGTTCTAAGCTTTGGTAATAGAAATATTCCTTTTTAACTTTATAGTATCTTTGTAAGACTCAGAGGTATTTAGATTTGAAATAAATATTTTTGATCTGTTAGTCTATAGACTAGACTACTGATAAAACGTTTCTTAATTCATGCACTCTTGTTGTATTAGAAAAAAGTAGTTTATTAAATAAAATAGTCTTAGGTGTAAATTCATGTTTCTGAATCGATTTTCTTTTTATTTGGATTCTTGCTATATCCTTACGGACATATGTTCAAAAACAGCGTCCTCTATAGTGTCAAACAGTTTATATTGTTGTAACGGTAACAAGAATCTAACAAAGGAACACAGATTCCGAAATTTTAATTTATGTCTAAGACTTTTATTTTATTTGATCAATTGCACTTTTCTAATGCAACAAAAAGTACACGAATCACGATACGTTTTTTCAGCAATGAATAGATTATCTATTCTTTAATATCTTTCTCTTAAGGAAGATGTAATCTTAGATGACCATAAGAAAATGATGATGATGATTATTGTTTGTATTTTGTTATCATTTTAGCATTTATTGTTCTGTTGAAAGATTCATCGACTGATGTACGGTGTCGAACAGCTGAAGCGATTAGTTTTATGTATCAATTTTAACATTTTTCTTTTTATTAAACACAATCCTATTCATGTGCAATAGAACTTAGACTTCAATTTTCTCCGAAAGTGATTTTTTTGCTAAAGAACATGTCTTTCATATTTTTATTTATGTAATTTTTTATAACAATATTTTTTGATAGAAATTTGTGTGTAATATTTTTTATGATTTATTATGGTTTTTCACATTTAAGTATTTTAATATTACAGTGACTATTAGAAAAAAATGACAAAAAACTTATTGAATGGTCATCTAATGCTAATTGTATTGTTTGTCTTTATCTGAAAAGAGTTTCTGCAATCTGTGATCTTTTTAGTATTTTAGATAAAAAGTACTCGTCTGCAAAAAGATCAGGTTTTAGTGACAGTGATGATGAAGAAGATAATAAAGAAAATGATTTTGTTAAAACTGACATAGCATTTGACTTATCATCTATCATTATAAATGTTTTTACGTATGGCTTTTCAGCAAGGAGGAAAACAACAACACGATACTACACTACACCTCATTGCATGTCACTACACATCCACTACACCTCACTAAATATCTACTACACATTCATTAGATGTAGTGAAAATTCTTAGAAGTGACTAAGAGGGATACTAAAGTGTTTCTAGTCGACTATATTAATGCTGATGTCTTTTTGTTTCATTTTTTCGGTTCTAATATTTTTCTAACATTTAAACAAAATGATTTTTTAATTAATCGTAAAAATTCTTGACCATTCATATTGGATAAATCTTTGTCATCAGCATTTAGTTACTGCTACCTGACATGTTTTCAAATAAATGTTGAACAAAAACTAAATAGAAGCTCTCACAAAATAATCTCCAATATATTCATTCTTAGACAAAATCAGGCTAAGAAAAAAAGACGACAATTCAAAGCCAGAATTATTACGGATCGTCTTGAAATCGGTGTATAGCAAACAGATGATTGATCCTTTTCAAGTGACAGTGACTTGAGGAATCCTAGTGTGTCTTTAAGTGAAACTAAGAGGGAAGCGTCGTATTAGTAACATAAGCGTGTGTGTGTATGTCGCTGTCCTGGAGAGCTATTGAAGACCAGCCACTGTGGTAACAATTTCCAGCACTATAGTGTGAAACAAAGGATTTTCATCCATTTCCCTAACTGAACAAGCCAGGAAATGGCTGATATTATACTTACTTTAGTGAAGCCGAAGTTTGCGATGACCGCCGTGGAATTTAAGAAAAACCGAAAAAGCAGCTGCCATCTGCCAAATCGCTCTTTAATATCTCTGCACATGTCTAGGAGAGAGTTTTTATATTTTAAAAGATGAGGAACTTATGTGCTATATCAGTACAATAATCTGTAAAGTCCAAACATGGCCTTCGAAATGCATTCAGCTAGAAGGATACCTATTGCTTGCTTTCATTAATTACTCATGACCACTACAAGGCCACCATCGTAGTGGAAAAACTGCAGTGTAGGATAGTGAAGTGTTGTTTTTTGCCCCTTGCTTTTCGGTTAGTTTTTACAACTTAGTTGGTTCCACGGATGGTATTTGGAATAATTCATTAGCGATATTCTATTCAATTCTTTTTGTTCAACGGTTGATGTCATGAGCAAGCGATGATCCTTTACAAAATATGATTAGAATTCAGATAAATGTATGTATTTAGTAGATTAGAGTGATACAATAAAGCGAATTTGATTTTTGAAAAGACAGTTTTGAGGGTTTATGGGCTAGAAGGCAGGACAGGATGTTAGCGCTTATATGAAACACACACATCGTTGAAAATTAGAAACATCATCGACACGACGAAATTAAATTTTACAAGACGAGGACAAAAATTTGAATGCTCAAGATGAATTACAAACAATGCGATTGTGAATTAACACCATGAGGTTCATCTAAAACACGTAAAATATCAGAGCGAAAATAATTTTTCATTAAAATGTATTCGTTATCAGAGACTTTTTTAGACTTAACACGTATTCATTCGTTTGTTCTAGGCTAAGAAACAGAAATACGTTAAAAATGAGAAGTAAGCGTTAAAATATTGAATCTTTATAAACTATTTAGATCATATTTAAATTTTTTTTCTGTTTTTGTGTACAATATATTAAAAACCGTTTGTATATTACTAATAAAATGAGAAAATTTAAAACGCATTCAACGCTCTACTTCGGCAATAAAAAATGAAATTTTCTCGTTAAAAATCAGCCTCTGCTATTCGTAATCAGAATTAAACGTTTCATCTAGTCTATATGCTTTTATGAAATCTGAGGAAGCAAGTTTCCGAAAAATCGCGAGAAGGTCAACAGTCATCAAAAGCCTTATATCAAAACTTTGCGAAATTAAGTTAGGAAATCTGGTTCAACGCTTATCATTGAAAAAAGTCAAAGTCACAAGAAGGTGAAAATCTGGTTTACTCGTATCCTTTGTTTTTTTGATAATCAAACAAATTGTGCGTGCGTATTTTCCTTTCGAATAAATTGTTTTTAGTGTAGCATTCGTTTACAACGTTTCACTTCATCAACATTTATTTCATTTAGAAAAATAAAATAAAAAAATCGAGTAAAAATATTCAACATAAAAAACAAATTCCTATTCACAATTATTTCATTTTCATTTCCAGTTGAAACACACACAACGATAAAAACAAAAAAAAGCAAGGATTTATTTTTTAAAGTTTCCTCGCGAAGAGCGATTATATTTCCCGTTCCTTAAGAACGCAGAGTACTAGGTCGCCTACTTTTTGAATCAAGCCTGGAGGAGCCTGAAAGAATTCCCGTCTCCGATTTACACGAACTTTTCGAAAGATACCGTGCATAATTGATTCGAACGACTTTGGTACATCCGACGACCAAGAGTGGATTTCTTCAAAAGGCAAAGGTACCCCGGTAGTATGCAACTCGTTCATGCGTTTTTGCACATTTCTTTCCGTCAGTCCAATTTTATACACTCCATCTTTGAATGCCGGATTTTTTAGCACATAGACATAACCGGGTTTTGGACGTAAACGCATCGGGTGAATTTCTACGGGACTGAGAATTATTTCATTCTGTTCGATAAATTCAGCCAGGCTGCGCAGCGATGTTAGTGGCGGTGACGGCTGTGTATTGCTCTCGAGAACTCCTGTTTGTACAGTTTCGGTTCGACTGGGAGACGCATCCTTAGGGGTGATAGGGGACAGGAGCGGAAGTAGATTAGCTTTCCCGATCAGCCTACAAATTTCAGGATATTTTAGAAAATGGCTCCATGTTTTCTCAAATTCTTTTTTAAAACTCTCCATTTTTTTGTCAACCCATGATTGACATGAAGAAGCGATTGTTTTCCTTAACAATTGTCGGACAATCTCGCGGTTCTTTTTCTCCCATTTATTTAAATCTGTGATCATACTATTTTTACAGCCGTTTCCACTAGCATACATCTTATGCCACGACTGACCATAACGCTTCACTAAAGTCTCTTCTGCATCACATAAACACCTCCTCTCGAATCCATTCATGTCGGGCACCCGCGAACTTATTTTTGTTATAGCAGTGTGAACATCGGGATATTCCTTTGTAAATTTTGCGTATGGCTGAACAATGTTTTGTTGTAGACTAGTGACAGAATCTTTAACAAGTTTTCGGAGTTTCTTCAAACTACTGCTAGTAATCAGTCGAGAAAAAAGAGTGCGCACTAAAACCTGTGGTTCTGTTCGCAAAATTCGCTGAAAATAGGTGTAGTGAGGTGAAGAATCAAAAAGATCCTCGCCAGACATTTTTTCTAGATTATCAAACCAATTTTCGATTATGTTTTCCTGCAAACAGTTGGGTGAAGAAACATTCTGGAGTGTGGATATTTCCGTACGAATCGATTGTGCCTGACTAGCGGTCATTTTGACACTTGCAGTTAGTAACTCGAAAATTGTGTTCACATGGGTCAGATAACGATTGATACAATTCTCAATGTCCTTATGGGACTTTTTAAATAGTGCTTTATCCAGAAATTGATCAAAGCGTTCAGCGTATTCTGATTTTTTCTGGCCGTTTTCGACGCAGTAAATTTCAATAGTTTGCATTAACTGTTTTTCATCTGTTGTTCGCAATTGTTTACAAAGCTCAGAACGAATTTTTTCTTCGATGTTCCCATTGGACCAGTTATCTTCGAAAAAGTTCACTAGGTGTTCATCTAAGCGTGGAATGATGACAGCGAACTGTGAAGTGAGATGGTTTTCTAAGGAAACGCATACTTTTGCCGTCACCGGACTAATAAGTAGTGATTTTTCGGGGACGAAAAATAGTCTATCGCATGATGATCGCCCTTCTTCAAATCGGTCGTTGAGTGAGAATTCATAACTGTCTCCTTCCCCTGGAATATCCAAGAGCGAGAACGATCCATCATACAAAGTTTTGAATGGTCCGTACAGTACTATCCGTGATACCAATGGCCAGTATTTTTCTCGTCTTTTCATGTACGGAGACAGTTTTTCTTTCATGCTTGAAGCATCCTCACACGAGAAACTATCGTACTCTTGCGAAAGTAAACATTGAAAAGTTTCTGGCAGCAACTGCTCAGGTGTGCGACTGTTAAACTGGTAATGCTGTTTGCCCAAAGAAGGAAACTCAGACTCGAAGCTATCTCCCCACAAAGCTTTCAGTTTCTGGTCAAGACTAGAAATAGCAGGTGAGCTTTCGTCATCTGAGTTGGAATTGTCTGTTTGAGTTGCACTCTCGTCCCAATCTTGCTTCGCGAGCTTCACCGATTCTTCCCACTCTTGCCGTGTAATGTACGTAATCACAGAGACGAATCGATTCTCGGACCATCCAATAACTTCTGTGAGACTTGCTGTGATCGCTCGACCATCACCTGTGGGAAGTAGGTCGTAGCCAAGAATGCGGTTGAGCAGGGTGGTTTTTCCAGCTCCACGTCGACCAAAAACTCCGACTCGAGAGATAGGTACAGAGTCAATCATGTTTTTAAGATAATCAAGAAGATCGTTGATGTCTGTCACACCCGATTGTTCGTCGTCTAACTGTGTTTTTCTGAGAAGCTGAGTGATCTTCTCGAGACGATTCGAAGCAACGACTTGAAGTTGTTCAAAAGACGCTTCCAATTCACTTGAGGTTTTTGCGATGTTCACATTGTCGTTCATAGTTGTACTTACGCATGAATCAAGAAATATGCAATATGGAGTATCCGACAAGGTAAACACACTTGCATTCATTTCGAATTTTAAAATCCTGATCAAAATCTTTCTGTCTTGTTTTCGCTGGCAACGAGGAAGTTCCGCTTTTGTTGAAGTAAATTAGTTTTTTTCAATCTCTCAACTGACATTCATTCCACACGCAGATAGAAAAGTAAAACCTTACTACGATGTATACGTCCAGATGCCAATCGAACTTTCTCACTCGAGGATATGCTGAGTCACTGTACCGAAGGGGCTATACCTGGAGTACATCAGAGTTCCGTGGAATGCTCTTTGGATCATGCGACGACTCACGTCCAGCCCTAGTTCCGTTGTCACATATCGTCTCATCCCGGCTGTCCCTGGAAAATGTTTTGAAAAAACTACTTAATCCACTCAACTTTTCTGACGTGCAAATCGTGAGCACTCGATCTCGATGAACGCTGCTCGAGACTCCGGACTAACTAACAGGAAGAGACAGCAGAGACGGTCCCGGTCTACTAGGCGAGAGCTCACACGAAAGAGTAAAAAACTACAGTGGTACTTACCGACTATTGAATGTAGAGACAATGAAAAGTCTTTTATGTATTGAAAAAAAAGTTGAATGTTATAATATAACGAAAAATAACAACTGAATAGTAAAACAACAACGAACTGAATTTATTGACTTTCGATAACGAACTGAATGAATAATAGGTTATATATACCTATACAGAGTTCTATATGGAAGATATGTCTTTTCTCTTTTCTTTCGTTATATAGCGTTGTGACGAAGAATATGCGCTTTGTGTATATAATACACGCTTGCTTTGCACGAGACAACGGAAAAGCAAAATAGAACAGAACATAACGATGTCTCTAAGTGCAGACGAACCTCGCTCAATTTTTCCCTTATAACTCACGTCAGTAATTTTTGGACCAATTTAAAAGACATTTTATACCGTCAGAGTTCCAAGACTTTCCTCTACTCGAATATATAAAAATATTCAAGACTTTCATATGCGAACTCGGAAACGATTCAATAAAAGTCAACACATTTCTTTCATGAAATAAGATACATCCACTTTACGACTGTAGTACGGAAAATTAGAAGTATTACAATAGTCTTTTAAACTGTTGCCTCTATGTTCAATATTAGCAATAATTCTTTTGAACATGTGTTCATATATATTTCATCAAAGGGAACATAAATTTATGCTTTGATGAAATATATATGAACACATGTTCAAAAGAATTATTGCTACATTACGCAGATAATCACGATTATCCTTAATCATGATTAAATTTAATCGTGAGTAAAGTAGCGATTACACTACTAGTTTAATCACGATTAAAGATAATTGTGATTATCTGCATAGTGTAACCGTAGTGATATATATTAAGACTGTTATCTGTGCAGATTAACGACACGCTTTCTTCGTTGGTTTTTTCTTCATAGTCGAGGAGTACATATGTCATAGCATAAAAACATCGGAAAGATATATACCGTCTTGTTTTCTTTTTTTATATACCAAGCGTATATTCAAGTGTATGACTATCCGTTCATAAAAAGAATGATCCTCGGCATTTTTCGAATAACTTTTTAACGGTGAGAGCTAGAACCATGCAGTTTCAGCATTCGATAGAGGAGATGATGAGAAGTGAAACTGTGGAAAAATCAGGCTTACTATAGTAAATCCTGCTGTGCAAAGTCCGAAATCATGGATAGTATCTACGATTTGTATTCGTTCAACGAATGCTTTGACTTTGGATAACCATTTATTTAAATCTGTGATCATACTATTTTTACAGCCGTTTCCACTAGCATACATCTTATGCCACGACTGACCATAACGCTTCACTAAAGTCTCTTCTGCATCACATAAACACCTCCTCTTGAATCCATTCATGTCGGGCATCCGCGAACTTATTTTTGTTATAGCAGTGTGAACATCGGGATATTCCTTTGTATATTTTGCGTGTGAACAATGTTTTGTTGCAGACTAGTGACAGAATCTTTAACAAGTTTTCGGAGTTTCTTCAAACTACTGCTAGTAATCAGTCGAGAAAAAAGAGTGGGCACTAAAACCTGTGGTTCTGTTCGCAAAATTCGCTGAAAATAGGTGTAGTGAAGTGATCAAAAGCCTCAAGCAACAGTCATCAAAAGCCTTATATCAAAACTTTGCGAAATTAAGTGAGGAAATCTGGTTCAGATACCACTCTGATACGCTTGTCATTGAAAAAAGTCAAAGTCACAAGAAGGCGAAAATCTGGTTTACTCGTATCCTTTGTTTTCTTGATAATCAAACAAATTGTGCGTGCGTATTTTCCTTTTGAATAAATTGTTTTTAGTGTAGCATTCGTTTTCACCGTTTCACTTCATCAACATTTATTTCATTTAGAAAAATAAAATAAAAAATCGAGTAAAAATATTCAACAAAAAAAAAATTCCTGTTCACAATTATTTCATTTTCATTTCCAGTTGAAACACACACACAACGATAAAAACAAAAAAAAGCAAAAGAAGATAAGAAGTTAAGTAGCAAAGAAGGTAAGTTTTGGACCGAAACAATATATTTTGTTTTATTGTTGAAGATTTATCATTATTATTGTAGAATTCTTGTTATTCTTATATCAGTGTAAGATACTGTTTGCTCAGCATAAACTTTTTGTTCAGCGCATAAACCTAATGAAGAATAAAAGTAACAGTTCGTTTCTTTGAGAAACTCGTTTCTATTTTAACTTACACAATAATTCGGAAAATAATCTTGCTGCATGAATTTTTGTTAGTCCTTGTACACGTAATAATTCATTAAATATACCACCTCCATCCTGTGAAGCCAAACTATACTCAAAACGAAAACAACTTGAAAGTCTAACTACTAGTTAAAAAATGGTACATACGCCAAAATACTTTGAATTAAATATTGTTGTGTTGTTGTTAATACTCCATACGTATCGAATGGAGGCATATCGTTTGGCAATACTAAATCGCCCTGCATCGCTGGCATTTCATTAGTTGGTCTTCCTGGCATATCAAGGCTATCTGGATAACGTGACGGTGATCGCTATAAGCAAAAAAAGGAAATGAGTAGAATAACAAAAGGGCATGTACAATTAAGGCTGAAAATTCTCTATGAATACACTCGACTTTTTTTCTGTCGGAATCTAGTAAAAGTGAAGTCAGAAGCATTTTATACACTAGTGTTTTTTGAGATTTTGGTATTATCATCTTTTTGAAATCGGTAATAGGTGTATAAGAAGGAGATGGCTCTCTCATTCTATTGCTTATATATCTGCATCGAATAAGCCCTTTGAGCTGATTGTTTTTGTAAATCATTCTCCATTCAATTCTCTACAAAAATCACATTGAACATTTTTTTTATGTACCGCAAAAGTAAAAAGAATATAGATGAAATATGGAATGTATACAGTTCGCTTGTTGAACTTAATTTGATGTAACACATCGATGGGGCATAGAAAGTTGATCAATAATTATATAATATAATTTATAAATTTATATTATATAATAATAATAATAATATAATTTTCAACTTGGATTAAGTTACCATTAGGGAGAAGTGAAAAAATATGAAAAGTAATATAGAATTTTTCCGACATGTCTGATCCTTCTACATCACTCTGACCTGATTCTGAGAAAAAAATCGAGTGTGTATAAGAAAATTTTTCAATCTTAATCGCTCACATTTTTTCTGATTATTGTCGAATGTACGCACTTCTAATGGCTTTCCAGTTATTGATGCTGAACGGTTATCAGTAGGCAATAAGCTACCTTAAAGTAAAACGTTTTATACTTTTGAGTAACTTTCCTTAGCTTTTTAGCGCTTACTCGCCGGTCCAAGACGTGCTGGTACATCTATTTCCATTTCCTTCGATTCTTGTATTGGTAGTACTATAACTCAGAAATATTATCGATAATAGATTGAAGTACAATTGCTAGTGATCACTCACAAGGACTTCGAATTCTTTCAAGTTGATTTCGGATATCATTCAATAATTTTTTACATGAATCGTTACTACTATCATACTGAACTTTATCAATACCTTTCTAAAATAAATGAAACAGATAAATACATACTACAAAATTATAAGGATTGTTTAGTAGAACGGTATAGAATTAATATAGCATTAGAAACTTTCCCTTTCCTCTCGAGAACATTAAAAAAAATCCATAGAAACTTAAATGCAGAAGTAATCAGTCCTCTCAGCTGAAGACATGTTGAGTAACAGAAGTATTACTTACTTTTGTCTGAATATCAATATCAAATTGAAATTTATCATTTTGTACTTTGTACCAAACACTTGGATCTTTGACTAAATCAAGCTTTTTTGATATAGCTATTTTCCTCCTACTTGGCTTTTTCGATTTTGCCTGCTTTTCAATAACGACTGCATCAACTGTAGGCTAAAACCACCAAAAATGTTCTATCCTGAAGAGATACGGTATTTATATTGAAAACACAAATAAACCTGATCGGTTTGAAGTGGTGGAATAACGTCCATCATTTGATCCAGTGGTAACAGAGATGTTTGATCAGCAGTAATAATACGTAATGATTGAATACTGGTTAATACATTTGTACCACTCAACATTATTAAAGGTCCAGTTTTCGTGGCTATTGTTGACCTAAAATAATGACAAACAGGAACAAATATAAACTGCAAAAATTGTGTTGAATTTTCTCTTACATCTGTGTTAAGTACACATTTTTTGTTGTTTCTAATAATAGCATCATTTCACTCATGAATAAATCAAATTCGGATTGTGATTGTTTACGCCGTCGAGTAAATGTTGTTTCTTGGGGTCGATCATCAAAATCAAATTGTCCATGCCGATCAGCTTTTGGAGCTAAAAAAATAAGAAAGGAAGATGTACGTTCAGAACATTCGAAAAACGGATTGTGGTGGTACACACACAGAATAAAATTAATGTTCAGAAGTGAAAACAAACGCCAGATTTAGACAAACTACATCTTAGATTGAAAATGACTAAATAAATCTATTTTGTCTAAAGAGTACTACATAAAGAGTCCCATGGAAACAAGAGAAGTACCCGGCCTTTTCCCTGAATAATTTGTTTGTCAATGAAACACGATACTAAAGCTAATAGATACCTCCGATAATCTCATCATTTTCCCACTGTTGATGTAAAGTTGTTCTTTCTATTTCATCAATTTTTCCCAATGGGCCGAATGCATCTATTTGTAAATCAAATGGTGGTAATGCTTCCTACGAGAAAAAGATACGATAATCTCTCTCGGTAGCTCTACTCCTTCTCTCTTCGAAATATTTTACTTCAGTAATTGTTGGTAATTGAATGGCAGCATAATCAGTTTGTCGACGTTGTTTTTTATTTGCTGATATCTATTAATATATACGAGTAAATTATATCTGTATGTATATATTTTGAAAACTCTAATCTTTGTACCGATGAATCAGTAACGAGTGATTGATAAATTTCAAAATCCCAGTCACGTGCCAATACATTATCGGCTGGTAACATTTGCATGTCATCGGTAGGAATAATTATCATTGTTCTTCCAGATGGTATTTCTTGATCAGCCGTTTTTTTACGTTTATGAGTGACTAATTCAGTTTCATCAATTACCCTAAAATTTAGAAAAAAATATAATGCAATATTCACAAATACGATTTTGAAATAAAGTGTCACTTTTTGACAAATACTTCTTTACGAAAATTTTCAACATCATCTAAATAATAAAAAAATAAATTGTATGATAATCAAATAAAAATGAAAGATATAACTGACTTAGAAATATTTTGACCGTTTTTTCATAGACATAAACAAGAGCAATCATCAACTGACTATCGAGTATGACGGCTGCGGGTGAACGACGACGAGTAGTTAAATTAATAAATTTTTCAACTTCGATACTGAAGCAAAAAACAAGTAAAATTAATGATGAAAAAAAGTTTACTTTAATATTTACTAGATATTTTTGAACGTCATCGATTCAATCAATTGTCGCGTTATCAAACGTTTATTTGTTGCACATCGCCTAAAAATAATAAGAGCTTGACATTTTAGGTCACTACAAAATCGATCGAATACTTTCTAAAGATCTATTTGATTTATTAAGTGGCTTTACTCAGAGTTAAAAATGTACGACTCATCTAACTGTCGAAGATGTTCTGTAAATTTTGGTGTCTCATTCTCTTTCAACCTCTCCAAGCACTCGTCGATATACTGGATGCATGCGAATGGACATATAAGTCACACCGACGTCAGAGGCAACAATTTTTCAATAAAATACCGCTGTCATCAAACATGGCAAACTAATCGAAAACTTTTGAAAACTTGTTGAAATAGAAACCGACTGCAAATTCGAATTCTTTATAATTGATTACTATGTATGTAACAAATTTTGGTCCGATAAACAAATGAACAATCCCAAGATTTTATAAACGATGAAGTTAATGGTTTTATTAAAGACACGTTAAAACATCATGAATTAGATGTTAAATGATTGCGTTTACGCCGTTATGATTATTTTTAGACTGAATAACCAGGAATATTTTACGGTCGAAAAGTGACCGGTTTTCTGGACCACTTAAAAGGATGAGATTTTTAGACCATTATTGTACTTTTAACAACAGATCATTTCTGTCTAGCTCATTATTCTTATTTGAATATATCTGCTCATCTGAATGAGAAAAATAGTTCTTTCTACTAATTTTCAAAACTTGCATTCTACATCTCATTAGTGGTGTTCAATAAATGGTTGGTACTACTAAACTAGGAAACTTGTACAGCAGAGTGTCAACTCATCATGAGAACGGTCAAAAGATTTCACGTTAATGTCAACTTTTCTTCCTAATCGGAGGATGAAATAACAAGCAGAAACCGAATATTCAACAGTTACTACAAACGACATGATCTCTCATATTGAGCATTTCTGAGCAGTCCTGAACAGACTGTTTACTGACTCTTCTTACACCGTTTTCAAGGCATTAACGAACCATTACTTCTACTGTCTTTAACAAAACACACATTAGATGCATTAGACATGATGTAGTCACTATTTTGTACCTGAGATGTCTTTTTTGAATCTCAATAGTTTTTCAGAGTACAAAATGCTGAGGCCAGCAGAATTAAGTCTGGTTCACGCAGCTACTGTTTTTAAAAAGCCGAATGGATGTCTTAATAGACGACAGCACTTCAATACTTTATCAAAAATACTCAACCTAGAGAGTCAGCTTAATTTTAAGTACGCAACAATTACCGTTAACTGTAACTGCTAAACTGTAAAACTGGTACAGTTGAAAGCTGTCACAGTTAAAACTAGTACATTTGATAATCGAAACTGATCATAACTGTCAGAAAAAATTTATACAAGAGACAGAATATCGAAAAGCAAAATCCATGTATTTTTTCTCAGGATATTGTACCGAGTTGCAACCGGTCTAAAACTAAGAGGCCGGTTCAAAAATCTTTTTAGACCGGTGGAAAACCGACATGGTGAAAACCTGCAAAAAAATCGACCGGTTGAGAACTTTTATCAGTAAAACTAAATATCTTTAAGGAAAAAGTGGTCTTCACTCGCTTTTTCTTATTTCTCTTAGTTGTTTTATCTTTTTTTGAGAAAAATGCTATAAGTTCGAAAAACGGCAAAAAGCCGGTCGGCATCTGTCGCTTTGAAAATTTTTCTAGACTGGTGGGGGCCGACTCTGATATTGTATCATGTTCTTTTATGGATTTTCTGTTTTCTGAATAAACTCTAGTTTCCATGCAGTCACATTACAACTTCTTGAAAAAATAATCCCATGGAGCTCAACTTTTTACCACAGATAGCGCAGACCCCATCCCATGTTCCAACTTTTTTTTCAAAAAATATACTATCCTTCGAAAGCGCTAAAAATCCTATGTAATAAGTGTGCAAAAGACGGTCTTCGATTTTAAAAACCTTCTCAGGCCGAAAGTTCAATTTGAGAACGCTTAAAAATAATTTAGAACCGATAGAGTATGAAGTATCTGTGGTAAAAAGTTGAACTCCACGGGACTATTTTTTTTTCAAGGAGCCGTAATGTGACTGGATGAAAACTACTAAGGCGCCGCTAATTCAAAAGAATTGCAAGTTCTTATTTTTCACTTAAAACTATATCATTCGATGCAAAATTTCACGGTGATTACGAATATCACCTTTTGAATTGATTTTGATCCAG